TGTCACGACTTTTTACCCGTTCGGGCGCAAAGCCGGATCAAAAGGGAGTTGCGGGAGAGTAGGATGTCAGGCCTCTCCGACGGATCTCTCGCACGAACCGAATTTCTAACGCGAACGTGAGTGTTGGGCGCCAGACGCGGTATCCCGCGTCCACTAACGCGAAATTTATCACAAATTATCGAAACGTTTATCGTAATTAAACGGCGTGCGAGAAATCGACCAGCTCGGCGTATTACTCAGGGACGAAGGTGATATAGGGCAGCGCGAATTGTGACGGGCGACACAGAAATTACGAACTCAAACAATTAATAACAAAAGAGATTAACATTTATTGCAAAGAAAAAAAACAATTAGCTCACGAGATTGCTCTAATAAATTAAAGAACCGTTGATTCATCTCTCACAAAAGCGAAATCATATAGACGTGAATAATCGTGAGCGTGGAAGAATAAATCAAAAATCGCTACAACCAGGAAAATAATAACTCCGAAAACAAGTCAAAATTTTACGCGATCTCAGACGCCAAGTTTACTCTAGAAAGTACGCAGGGTCGCGATTGTTCAGAATGCTGTCGCCAGGAGAGAGTATCCCCGACATACGAGGCGCAATATAACACAACGACGGGCCAATAATCAAGCCCGAACGCGACAGATAACGCGAAATATTTAGGTTTTATCGCGCCGAGGAAATCATCAGCGCGAGAAGGATATCGTACTCAATCTAACGAATTTTTACGGGACATACGCCCTACGCAAAAGAGTACTTAATTCAACGCGAAAGAAAGAGTATCCTCCGAGGAGAGTAGCGCTAAACCAGCGCGAGACTACACAACGCAATAATGTCTTGACGGACTTACAGACTAACGCGAAATAAACTAAATTTAACGCAAGAGATGACGAACTTACATACTAACGCCATGTACAACTAAATCTACGCAGGGGAAAATATCTACACGAGGAAAACGCGAATTTGACCGCAAGCACACGAGATTACGGAAACGGCGTAACGCAAAAGAATTATTCTCGACGAATAAACTACGATCACGAGAGTTGCGCGGGACGCACCGCCGGGTAATACGCGATCGCGACCACAGATACCGTAAGAATGTTCGCAAATTACCGAATCGAGATATCTATCGCGATCTCCAGGACCTTCACGCGATGAGTACTATTCACTGGCCACGAGACCATCCCAAAGCCCTTCGCTTTCGCTCTCGATCGCAGATGTAAAATTGTGAGATCTCAATTACGCGAGTACTTTAGGCGAGAGCGTGGCCCGGAGGGCGGTGTCGTGGCTTACATTACTACCGTCTATTACGAGGCAACCTCACCGGTAAGATGCTTCCTCGGTCGGGGTTGTCCTCTCCGCCGTCACCAAAAACCGTCGCGAGAGAATCAGGCACCAAGTGCGCAGCAAGAGTCGGTCGGGAAGCGCTCAAGAAAGCCGTGCGTGTCGTCCCGAGGGTGGCTCAAGAATGATCGCGGAAGTGCGCTCGATAGAGGCGTCGATCTAACGCCCCTAGCGGGACATGCGCGACCCTTCCGCGCGATAAGCGGACCAATTGACGATGAGCTCGCAAGCTCGTGTGGGAGCCGCTAGCAGGGTTATCGACCGTGGATTCGGCGGGGCGTTCGAACGTGCCCTTCGCGCTCGCGGGGTCCTTCCAGGTTTCCCCGTTGTAGTAGGCAAGGCGATGACTCCCGCGGTGTCCTCTGGCTCGACTCGGGGGCGGTGGCCATCCATCCCCAGAGTCCGTCTGGCCTCGGAGGACTGCAGACAGGCCCGGCGCCGGGCCCCTGCGATGCACAGGTTCGCCTGCCGTTGCTGGCGCGCAGCGCGCGCGTCTCACGTCGTCCCTCGCTTAGTAGCGGTCCCCGTAACTCGGGCTCCTCGCCCTCGACATCTCGCTTTCGGTCCTTGTGATTCCGTTTATCATCCGGCTCTCCTGGTACTCCTCGTCATCTTCAGTGTGGCGTTGGAACTCCAACTCGACGGGGTGAGGCGCCACGCAATATCGCAAGAAAAAAAAAACAATAATGAATATTTGAATCGCAACTTTAATACGCCCCTGGAGATCGAAGGTTGATTCGTGAGCCGTCCTCGGGCGCGCAATCCGCGCCTTGTGACGGCGGCGGAGCGCTGCCACGCCGCGGCGAAACCGCAACGTCACAACACCCCACCCCAAGAGAGAGCATATCGGGCGCGATTGCCTCGACTTAGCCACTTGCCCATCCGGGCTCGTTACTAGGACGCTCACGCGACCGAGATCTCCAGTGAAGGGCTTCCAGTACTTGGACGGACACAACGTATAACACAAAAAAAAAAATCATACGATTGAAATAACAATACGATCAAATTTCGGCCCTCTTCCCACTTGCCGTAAGAACCTCGAAATTAAACTCGAAATGCCTTATTTGCCCTGTTTCCGTTTCGCTTAACGATTTGACACAAGTCGGACTTCTTACGATGGCCTGCGACGGCTATGTGCCTCTCGCCTGTTGACGACTGCCTACCGAACACTAACGCAACGCAAAAACGTGAAATACGTCACCGCAACGCGAAGACGTTAAACGCTAACGCAACAACGTGAACATTAGCGCAACGCGAAAACGGAACCTAACGCGAAATACCTAACGCTAACGAGACCTAACGTCAACGAAGGTAGAGAGAGGGGGGGTAGCCCCCGTCTATTCCCGTGGGAGGTAGCCCCCTTTTAGCCAAGTACGCTAGCTAGACGTACAAGGCAGATTTGTGTTAGCACAACACCAACGCGAAAGTGGCGTCGACCGCAGAACGAGAGCGCAACACTAAATCCTATCGTGGCTTTTATTCGTATCGTCGGGCTTGCGCGGCAATGCTAACCATCGAACACGATTAACGGCAGGGTTTCTCGCAATTTAAGAGTTAACGAACGGAGGTTTCGGGGTGGGTTCCAGGGTAAGATCTTACTCTAAACGTGGTGGTTAGTAATTTATTGGGTGTCTATGGGAGGAAACGTAACATAACTTCAACATAACATTAAAGGGAAAGCAAGCAACGAAAAGAAACCTAAATAAGTAGGAGTGGTTACTCGCGATAAGGCTTTAAATCCTTAATATGGACTTTTCCGATTACGTTACCGAGGGGATCGGCGAGTTCGTAGACTACCGGCGACAGAATTTTATGAACGACAAACGGACCGTGATATTTCGTGGCTAATTTTGCAGAGATATGCTGCGTGGCGGACGACAAAATGTGTTGCCGTTTCAGAACGAGATCGCCTACGGCGAACTGTCGATCCCGCCGTCGTAAGTTGTAATACCGCGTTTGCTTGGCCCGCGCGGCCTCGAGATTCTCTACAATCCACCCGCGCAACTGTCGGATGTTTTCCATCCTCTCTCTCCAATTGGCGGGATCGGCGTCTTCGATCTCGACATCTTCTCGTCCGCGCAAACTAACAGGTTGAGGTTCCCTCCCGAAGTTGAGAAATGCCGGGGTCGCTTGGAGCGACGTATGGTGCGCGGAGTTATAAGCGAAACGGAATTCGTTGATGTGTCGGTCCCATTCTCGATGATCCCGGTCTAGAAACGCAGTAATCATAGTCTTTAGCACGCGATTCACCCGTTCGACCGGATTGGCTTGCGGGTGGTATGGCGGCACCGTCGAGTGCTTAATGCCGTATTGTTCCGCGAGTGCCCGTAAGTCGCGATTGACAAATTCCGTACCGTTATCAGTCAACAATACGCGAGGTGCTCCCCACCGAAATATAACGAGGTCTTCGATCGCCTCTCGGATTGCTTTACCTGTCGCCTTACGAAGCGGACGACACTCAACCCATTTAGTGAAGAGGTCTTGGATTACGAGAAGATACGCGTGACCAGATCTGCTCGGCGGAAGCGGCCCCATTATATCCGCGGCAACTACCGTCCACGGAGCTTCAATGACGCGCTGTCCCATTAATCCCGCGGGAACGTCCTGTTCCACTTTCGTTCGCTAACAGGTATCGCACCGACGCACATATCTAGTAATATCGCGAAACATCTGTGGCCAATAGTATCGCGTCGCGACACGGCGGTAGGTTTTTGCAACGCCGAAATGTCCGGCTTGAGGTGGATCGTGATTATCGCGAATTATTTCCTCCCGCGAGTCCTTCGGTACAACACGTTTCCACTGGTCGAGATCGTCTACCAGTTCGCCTACGATCGGGTGAGGTCTGCGGAAATATAACTGTCCTCCATCGATTTTCCACCCGGGGAATCGGCGTGGGTGCTCGGTAACGTCGTCAAACCGTTTCGCGTACCACTCATCTTCGATCGCGACCGCTGCGCACAAATCGTTTTCTTTCTCGTAAATTCGCGAGAGTGCGTCGGGTACGTGGTGCAACGCCCCTTTCCTATGCTCGATCCGATAATCGTACTCAAGTAACTCGAGTGCCCACCGCGCTAACCGGCCGGTCGGATTCTTAAGATTGTGCAGCCAACGGAGGCTGCTGTGATCCGTTATTACAGTAAAGTTGTATCCTTCCAAATATGGCCGGAATTTCTTAATGGCCCATATCACGGCGAGACACTCTTGCTCAGTCGTTGAATACTTGCGCTCCGCTTCCGATAGCGACCTACTCGCGAACGCGACCACATGTTCGTTCCCATCTATTTGTTGCGTCAACACCGCACCCAATCCCACGGAACTTGCGTCGGTCTGCAACGAAAACGGCACGCGGAAGTCCGGGCACGACAAAGTAGGAGGAGAGGCTAAACGAGCTTTTACGTTTTCAAACGCGACGGTTTGTTCTTCGCCCCATTCCCACGGCTGGTTCTTCTTGAGAAGACGCGTCAAGGGTTCTAAGAGCGTCGCGCACTGCGGTATGAAGCGGCGATACCACGACGCCATCCCTATGAAACGCCGTAACTGTCGGAGGTTACGCGGCACCGGATATTCCCGAATGGCGACCGTTTTATCCGGATCGACCTTTAAACCGTCTCGATTCACGAGAAACCCTAAATATTTCACCTGAGATCGGCAGAAGTGGCTCTTTTCGGGATTAATTGTAAGACCGGCTTCTCGAATTTTCTTAAATACGCGCTCTAACCAGATCAAATGTTCCTCAAAAGTCTCTGTCGCGATCACTATGTCGTCGAGATAGGCAAACGCATAAGGATCCATCTCGGGCCCGATCAAATGATCGAGTAACCGTTGGAAAGTCGCGGGCGCTCCCGTCAACCCGAACGGCATTCTCTTAAAATGAAATAAGCCTTTCCCCGGAACCGCAAAGGCCGTTATCTCCCGGCTCTTCTTTTCGAGCGGGATTTGAAAATACGCCTGGCTCAGGTCGATGGTGGAAATGTACCGAGCCTTTCGTAACTTATCGAGAATCGCGTTCATATACGGTAACGGGTACGCGTCCTTCTTTGAAACGTTATTAACGAGGCGAAAATCTAAGCAAAACCGATATGTCCCGTTGGGCTTCTTAATCATAACAATCGGGGTCGACCATTCGCTTTGGGAAGGCTCGATAATGCCGGCTTTTAACAATCGATCGACTTCTTCGTATATCGCCTCTTTAATTTTTGGTGAGACCGGGTAACATCGTTGTTTAATCGGAGGATGACTCCCCACTTCGATACGGTGTTCCGTTAACGTGGTGGCCCCGAGTTTTTCCGGAACGCCCGTTAATTGTGACTCTAAAAATTCGCGCAAACGTTTCTCTTGATCCGGCGTTAATTCACTTAGACCACAGCAGACGAGCGGTGACGCTTCGGGTTTCCGCGCCTTTTCCCCTTTTTCTGCCGAATCCGCCGCGATATCTACGCTGTCTCCCTCCGACAGGACGACACGAACGTTCGCGAGAAAACTCGAAGAACCCTTCTCGAAAGGATACTGTCGCGAGGAATCTTCTACGAAATGCCATGTTCCGTCCGCGAAGTTAACGCTAATCCCGAAAGCTTGTAAGAAATCTAATCCTAAAATACACGGTAACGCTAAAGTTGGCAACGAGTGGATTACCATTTGCCGGGTTTTATCGTCCACGCTAACTGGGACAGTTACCGCCCCCCTGACTCTCGCTGTTTGATTCGTCGCGGTCGCCACCCGTCTCCCGCCGGTCGGACGGAACGAGAAACCTAATTGCTTAATTAGCGCCGTTATTTCCGGACCAATGTAAGTGCGACTAGAGCCCGAGTCAACCAACGCGCTTATCTCATATCCCGCGATACGAACGCGGAGGAATTTCAGAGAGGCCGAGGCCCCCTTTATATTAAACGCGCTGTATGCGGCCTCGCGGCGATCCACGGCCGAATCGTTCGGGGCGGAGAGGGTAGGAGTCGGGACGCCCCTCTTACGCGACTCCTCTATGCGTTTCCCGAGCACGCGGGACACGTACGGACGGTAACTTCGGCTTTACCGCACCGATAGCAATGTCTTTTCGGCGGGGCTTTGCAATCGCGCGAGAAATGCCCCGTCCCCTCGCAATTCCAGCACGTCGCGGTACGTGCAGCGGCCGGAGGGGTGGTCGACACGTCGGTCGCGGAAGCGGCGGTCACTGCGGGAGCGCTCGCCTTGGGCCCGCCGGCTTGTACCTTTTTCCCGTTCGTGGCGCCTGCCCCGGTCCCGGTCGAATTTGCGGTAGAAGTACCAAGCGCGGCCACGGTATCGCGAGAATTTCCGCCGGAACGGCGATTCGCGCCTTTAGCTACCCGATATGCGAGATCCGGAAATAAGGATTGCTCTGGCGGGGGAGGTGCCCGATAAGTTTGCGCGGCGCGGCAGCTAGTCTCGGCTCGCGTGGCCCACCGCTCGAGCGCCTTCATATTAGTTACCGCGTCCCGAGGAATCAAAGTCTGTAATCGAGGTAGAAGGTGTCGGTGCGCGTAGCCGACCTTCTCTTCTTCGCGCCACGGCGGCGATAGCCGATCGTATAGCGAGCTGAGGCACGTCAAAAAGTCCGCGACGGGTTCTGTCTCCCCCTGCGTGCGCCGCATTATCTCGTCGCGAAGCGCGAATTGGAAGTCGGGGTCCCCGAAGCGCGTACGCCATTCCTCCCTAAACGCGGCCCAGGTAGTCAGGCTATCCCGGATCCCGCGGAACCAATGCAGCGCGATACCCGATAAGAAGAACGGCAGGCATCGTAAAATGTCTGCATCTGAGACGGGAATTAATTCGCGGCCCTCCTCCACGCGCAACAAAAACGTTTCCGCATCTTCGCTGCGCGCGCCCGAGAATTTCAAATTCCATTTACGCATCGTGTTATAGGCGTCGGCAGCGGAATTATGGCCCGAGTCCCGAAGGGTCCCATTTAAGCTGTCGTGGTCCGGCGGGGAGCCGGAGAGGCGCGCGATCCTATCCGCGGACGGACTATCCGGGTGCGTATTCCCCGCGGGAACCTGTAGGCATTCTGTATCTACCGGGTGGTTTACCGCGGAGGCGCTCTCCGAGTCTCCGCCGCGACGTAACAAACGCAGTAACCGGAGGGCCAATTCAGTGTCGGTCCCTTCCGCGGATAACCCTCGTCGAGTTAACTCGCCCATTCGCTGTTCGCGGTTCGCGAGGAGGATCCACTCGTCGCTAAGTTCGACAGAATCCATCGTAACGCGATGATACGATTCACGGTTACTCTAATCTCGAATTTCTATAGCGCGAGAAACACGAACGTTAACGTGTTCCCGAAAAAGCCACAAAATCGTTCAGTCAAACCGTTCGCGAAGCCAACAACATTCCTCGCTTTTCAATCGTAGCGAGCCTAGCTAAGGATAATACACGCGAATAATAGTATACGCGAGCACTAACACACGCGAGCAATAGTACACGCGAGCAAACACACACGAAGGAATGCGAAGACAACACGCTATAGCGGTGAAGTTTTTCTGCTGGTACGGCCGGCTCGACGCAAACACCGAATTCCGATACCATCACGTTCCGACTTTCACCACATTCCGACGCTATACGCGACTTCGAATAATATCGCGAACTTACAATTTGACCCACCCGAAATAATTCAACGCGATCGAAACGAATAACTAAGTCCTGAAAGAGAATGTTAGACAAAACGTGCGAAACATACAGCATATGAGAAACACAAAAATATATCACACAACATACTTAATATCGCATAGAAATAAAAATAAAACAAAATCGAAAGAGGGTAGGATAAGAGATTTTCTTTATTTCAACAAAAAAAAATTAAATCTGAAAAAAAAAATTAATTAATCTGCCGTCACCCGCGCGAAATTATTATCGCGCTTATTCAAGCCCTTATTGGGCTTTTCAGCGATCTTTCGGCAGCCCCACGTTGGGCGCCAAATTTTGTCACGACTTTTTACCCGTTCGGGCGCAAAGCCGGATCAAAAGGGA